CTCACAAGTGCGACATCTTTGCTTGAACAACTCCGACCAGCACAGACTGGCACGTGCAGATCGTCTACCGGCGTACCCGGCGAAGAAAGTTGCTGACCTTGACTGTATCAACAGTTATATCCTTGACTGGAGTAAAACGCCGCACACGGCGTCACCTAGTCCAAGAGAGGTCACACCTGCCGCTGAAAGAACATGCTGGGAACGAATCTCAGATATGTGGCAGGACACGAACAACAACAGGGATATTGATATCCGTCTGTTTGTCTCAGTCAAGCAGTACTATTCAACTTTTTCTAACCTTGACCTATGGTTGAGTCCTTCTGACAAAGATTGGCACAGCCCTTTGGGCTTCACAATACAACCAATCCTTACAAAGGGGAAACACAACCGGTCAGATGCCCAGGTCCAAAAGATCGCTGACAAGCGAAAGGCTTACAAGCAGCGTAATGCTGAATACTGGGGTTACAACGATTCATTCGTTTACTCATCCGGCAACAGCTGGTACGACAAATCGCAACCATCAGGTATCCATCACAGATATGGAAGATTCTGGGAGTGGCCACAGCCTGAACGTCCCAGCGAGCCTGAAGGTCCTCCTCCAAGAAGGAACCAGGAATCATCGTCCTCTTCACAACCAGATCTACCAAGATCAAGGTCCAGGCCTCAAAGAACCAATATTGTTGACAAGCTCAACATGTCTTTGGAAGAGTTGGATGGACTAGAAGAAGAACCGTCACCAACAAAAAGTGACATCGAAGAACACGAAAGAGAAACATCAAACTTGATGTCTGCTCAGAGAGATGAAGAGGAACAAGAGGACGAATCCTCCAGCCGGAGGAGAAGAAGGAAGGCATCGAGTCCACCGTCTGCTCCGAGCGGCAAGGCACTCAGAACAGCTGCTACAGCAGCGGGGTTGTCGGGCTGGTTCGGACACCGCAACCGAGGTGGAGCAAACGCAGAGTCTACCAAGACTGATGAAACTTCACTTCCAGACTCACTAACCAGTGAGCAAGACTTCTCCGTCTTCAGCATCACGTGGAATGTGTTCCTGCTGCTAATGGGCTTACACTGGATGTTGAAGCAGATTACCAGGCCTCCTATCAGATGTATGGAGCGCCAACAACCAAAATCAAGAGCAGCAGCGAACCAAAGAGTTCCATTCCTCGAACCCGAGGATGAACCGCAGACGCGTGAACCTTTATGACCCAACAGGGTCAATATCGGAGAAACAACTGATCTGCGACCTATTTGGCATACTTCCCGAAGCGAAGTCTACCATCTCTCAGACAGCTGTTACCAGCTTAAGCAAGCAAGAGATGTTTGCAGGAAGGTGCTGTGCAAAAACTGCCTTCATGCAGTACAAGTTGCGGAGATTCGTAGGAATGATCCTTTCCAAAGAGGTGATACACGACCACGTGGCACCGAAAGAGACATTGAGCGCTTCCAGACCTACGATGATGCAAGTAACACTCCTCACATGACACAATTATTCCAGGATGCCTTGCATGCACAAATGGCGGAGGAAGCCATGCAGATTACCTATACATCGATCCCCAAGGGATCCTCGGCAAAAGCCAGAGGTACATCTGCACTCTCAAGTGCCGCATCGTCATCAGCGCCCAAGGCAATGCCACCAGGGCCTAACAAGGCAAACATATCACCTCCACCTAAGAGTCCTCCGCCAAAGGCGAAAGGAACAGTACCTTCTGCTCCTCCAAGACCAAAAGACCAAAAGGTCCTACCAGAAGAGGAGGTCAAAATCGGCGTATTCAACGAAAGGCAGCCAGAGAAGCCCACACCAGTGGACTCTGCACTTATGCAGACGCTGCACTTGACGAAGCCAATCAAGGCCAGGCAATTAACGTTACGTGCCGAAACATAGTATCAAGACATGTCAGCTCTATCGATGCAACGGTAGAAGCAGCCGGCCAGTTTACACAACGCGTGCTACAGCACGTAGAAACATATGATGAAGAGGAACCGTGGAGCACGGAGTTCCTACCAATCGTGGAAGTCCTATTCAGGAACTTAAGCGGCGACGAAACAACTGTCATACATGACAATCAAACGGTAACTATGCCTCTTGCGAAATACACAGACCTCCTCAGAATCGCACAAGCATTGCGAGGCTCTATCCAGAGAGACAAGGAGGAAAGAAAGGAACATCTTGACACCATCCAAGATACTCTATCCAGAGTGGAAATTCTTCTCGCAGCACTGAAGGACTCAAGGACAGTCTTCAACCAACTGGTCCATTCCTCACTAGAGATCGAGCGAAGAAATAACAATCTCAAAAATGTCCTCGAGACACTCTTTGATGACCAAAGCTCTGAGGAAGACCAATCAGAATCTGACAATGAAGAAGTCCTAACTCCTTCTGCACCACAGTACTGGAATAGCCTTTATGCCCACGCCTTATCTCCCTCAGGAGATGAAAGTGAAAGATCATGGGCGTCCTCAGACGGACAGCTTGAAAGAAGAAGGGCTGAACGGGCAAAGGCTAAGCAGCCGCAACCGGCAAAAGCCAAGGCAACTTCAGTCAGCTCACAAGCTGCTCCAAAGGCCGAGCCAAAGGCGACAACATCCAACCATGGATATGATACTGCAGATGCCGCCTTCACCAGGGCTGAGAATAGATTACTCGGAATCTTTTCAAGTTCCGAAGAAGACCACTCAGACCCGGATGAGCCACATCCGAATGTCTACGCTCGAGCCTATGATCCAAACCTGGATCCGAATCTGAGATAAGAAAATTCTCAGAGTTTCACAACAGTGAATCACAAGGCTCTAACAAGAGCACAATGAAGGGCTGCATAATTCGGTAGTAGAACATCACCAGACCTGATCTTGTACAGATGATCTCTCTGACAATATGCATGAGTGTGTGTGCAAAATGAGTGGAGTGTCCTCAGCAGTGTACTTCAGTGCTATACCTAGCATACATAATATGCTGTTTTTATAATGAGTCCAAAACTCCGCAACTGTGACAGTGGGCATAACAGTATATGTGTGAATGTGCGGCCATGCTTTCGGTAAAAGAAAATTAGTGTCTGTTTGAAACCATAAACCTCTAAAGGGGTAGCTCTAACAGGTACCTACAGCAATGGCTGCATGCTCATACATATACATTCCGCTGCCCATTGGCTCAAGTGGTTTTACCATATTGAGACAAGACAAGCTCTCCTTGCGTAGCAAGACAAAACAACTACTGTCCGTGTGCAGGGCGCTGCCCTTTGATCCTTAGGGAATAAACTGGTCATACACCTCCTTACAAGGAGTATCCCTTGGGGGTGTATCGGCACCCCCCCCTTCCCCCCCCTCCCCCTCCCCTTTACCACTACCAGCCCCAAATTGCACCGCACTTCCTACCCCCCCTCTAAGCCCCCCCAACCCCCAACCCTCTTCATGCCTCTACCCTATAGCCTCCCTACCCCAAATCCACCAAAAAACCGCAAAATTCCGGTTCGACCTTTCATGAGGGTTTAGGACGCCTGTCTTCCCTCACCCCCGCCCACCCCCCACTGGTTCGACCTGAATGAGGCATGCACCCTCACCCTGAGGCAACAGCGCGAGCCCAGTTCGACCTATTATGGTTCCACCTCTTAAACCCAACCTGCACGAGGCAACACAGCCGGGAGCCCAGTTATTATGGTTCGACCTGAATGAGGCACAGCCTGCACCCTCACCCTGAGGCAACAGCGCGAGCCCAGTTCGACCTATTATGGTTCGACTTGAATGAGGCACAGCCTGCACCCTCACCCTGAGGCAACAGCGGGAGCCCAGTTCGACTTGTTATGGTTCGACCTGAATGAAGCACAGCCTGCACCCTCATCCTGAGGCAACAGCCGGGAGCCCAGTTCGACTTATTATGGTTCGACCTGACTGAGGTACAGCCTGCACCCTCACCCTGAGGCAACAACCGGGAGCCCAGTTCGACCTATTATGGTTCGAAGATGAATGAGGCGTAGTCACCACTGACTCCTCTGCTACAGCGTCAATCAAGGGACGTGTGCAGTCCAGCTTTCGGTTTGGGGTTTAGGACTTAGAGGATTGGGAGTTCAAGGTACAGCCTGCTCGGTCACCACTGACCCCACTGCTGCAGCGTCAACACAAGCAGACGCGTGCAGTCCAGCAGCCCAGAGCTCGGTTCGACCTTTTATGAGGCGATCCAACAGCCCGACGGTGTGTGTGTGTGTGTGTGTGCTTCAAGGACAGTATTTCCATTTACAGCCGTGCTCGATATCTGCCGCTGTTTTGAAGCACTATTCAGCGCAGATTAATTCAACAGGCCCAGAGTCGCAAGCACAAGCACAGGTTCGAAATTAGGGCTTGCCTTGCTACGAGCAGATAACATTCTACATTTGCCATGCCCGTTTACTGCGCTGGATTCGAGGACCCTGCAGGCGGTCTGGCCAGGCCTTGCATCTTCGCTCACGATGGCAATGGCGGCCGAGCACGGCCCACTGGAAAGCGCTGCATGTTGTGCTGCTTAGAAAAGCTGCAGCAGGCGCTCTCTTCCCGCGTAGCCAAAGGAAACTTGCATAGGCTCCTTAAGCACTGGCGCCGAATAGGGTCGCCGACATACGAAGCTGCCTTTGGACTGGGTTCTCTCTGTGCGCTATCTACCAACGAGCATTGTCTTCTTCGTGCAAGGGCCGGAGAAGGATGCGACTTCGATTTGCAGACCAGTTGGCTACACAAGAAGAAGCAGCGTTTGGAACATTTCGTGATGGGCCGCCCGATCCCTGCTGCTAGCCCGGACATCAGCCAAGGCAGTCAGAAGTATTTGAAAGCAAAAGCCAAGTGGTACAAGGGGAATCGCGATTTCCGTCTGCATTGGAGATATCGGCAGTATCGTGTAAAGGAGCCTTTTGCAAACATCAAGACGAGGTGCAAGCGCCGAACATATTGGCGTGGCAGAAACGCCATTGTGAGGGGCATGCGCCGTGCATGGTGGAGAGCTCGGCGTATCTTGAAAACGAAGTATTTGGCAGCGATGGCGGCAGGACCACCTTACAATAGGTCTGGCTTGAAGTGGGCTGTGGAAGAAGGCTTACTGGAGACCGGCATTCAAGTACCTCTCGCAGATGGGGCGGTGCAACTGTGCCAACCGAGATGGAGCTTTCTCACTCCTGCCGGAGATGTTCTGTACTTCGAAAGCTTGGACGACCGCAAAAGTTCGAAGACGAAGCGGCTTCAAAGCGCCAAGGTTTCCATCAACAACGCTTTCGGAAGACCAGAATATGCCATTGACCGAGAAGAGTATGTCCATGACTGGAGCTCTCACATGATTCGCAACGGCGTGATATTCTCGCCGCCCTATGTCGACAGCATGTTGGAAAGGCTCGGCTTCAAGCTGCAACTCTTGCGCGAGTACAGTGCGTGGCCAGCAGGAGCCAGCGGCCTGCTACAAATCCGCAGCACCACAGGGAGTGCCGCTGCAGGCTATTGGGCCGCTCTGATACCAATTGAAGGCAGAGTGTACTTGCTAGATGCTTTCCAAAGGGGGCCTGCCTTGATAGAGAACATGCAACATGCTGTGCAAGTTTACACAACCTACGCGATGGTCCCTTTCTAAGTCTCACCGCTGAAAGCTTGGGGCATGTGACTCACAGTGCAGAGACGAGCGCTGACTCAAGCCAAGCTACGCGCCCCGTGACCCTGTACAGGATGGAGCACTTGCGCAGAAACATGGTGACTGTTGTTGACATGGAGAAACGAATGCACTCTCATTCAACTGTGGCTCATGACTAGCTGGCCCGAGACTTCGGAGTAGGACGATTATTGAAGGCACAAAAGAACTCGAAGCATTGTCCGGAAGTAATCCCCGAGCAAGCAGGTAGCCAGCCCAGCTGCCAAGCACCCAGACAAGCCCAGAGAGCGCAGAGACCAGCAGAGCCAACGCCCAGGCCAGCCAGCCCGAGCAGCAGCCCAGCCCCCAACCCCCTGCCCCCTTCTCCGGCCGGCCACCAGCCCAGCCGCAGCCACCCAGCCCGAGCCCAGCGCAAATTTCAAAATGTGGTTTGCGCGAAAAGAAACTAGGGCGGCTTTTTCGCACTTTCATTCAACTGTGTCTCATGACTGGCTGGACCGAGACTTCGGAGTAGGACGATTGTTGAAGGAAGTAATCCTCGAGCAAGCAGCCCGGAAGCCCCCACCCCCAACCCCCCCAACCCAGCCCCCAACCATGCCCAGCCCCAACCCCTACCCCGACCACAGCCAGCCCAGCGCAGAGAGCTTTAGCAGGCCAGCCCCCACCAGCCCAGCCAGCCGGCAGCTCCCCAAGCCCAGCCCAGCCAGCGCAGCCAGCCCACCCAGCCAGCGGCCAGCCCAGCCAGCCCTGCCAGCCCAGCCCCTGCCCGAGCCCAGCGCAAATTTCAAAACGTGGTGCCCGCCAGCAGCCCAGCCCCAGCCAGCCCAGCCAGCCCAGCCAGCCCAGCCAGCCCAGCCAGCCCAGCCAGCCCAGCAGCCCAGCCAGCCCAGCCAGCCCAGCCACAGCCAGCCAGCCCAGCCAGCCCAGCCAGCCGCCCAGCGCAAATTTCAAAATATGATTCGCAAAAAAAAACTACTGGGCGGCTTTTTCGACCGGCCGACCTTCTTTTCTTTTAGTACGACAGAAAGGTCGGCCGGTGAAAAAAAGCAGGTTTTTTCACCGGCCGACCTCTCTGTCGTACTAAAAGAAAAGAAGGTCGGCCGGTAGAAAAAGCCATATGCAGAGGTTTTTTTTCGACCGGCCGACCTCTCTATTCGTGCTAAAAGAAAAGAAGGTCGGCCGGTGCCCAAAATAGTTTTTGGGACCCAAACCCTTAACAATTTCTATAAACCCTAAACCCTAAACCCTAAACCCTAAACCCTAAACCCTAAACCCTAAACCCTAAACCCTCAAGACAGGATAAATAGAAATTGTATACCGTGACAGCGCAGCTCCTACTTTGAGACTTTGAAATACGGCAGACCAGGGCAGGGCAGGGCAGCGCAGGGCAGGCCAGGCGGAGCAGGGGTTCTTGGTGGGGGGGGTAGTGGGCAAGCACCACAAAAAACAACCCTCAGAAAAGGGAAAAAACAAGCCTTATTGAAATGGGGTGGCCTCCCGCCCCTGACCCCCCCACCCCCCTGCCCCCGCTTCCACCCCTCCTCTCCTGCCCGCCACACCCCCTGGGGCGGGCAGAGGGGGGAGGCACAACCCTGATCACTCAACCTGAATCGGGGTTGGAGGCCCGCCGCGCGTTGGGTTCCCCTGACCCCCCACCCCCCCTGCCCCCTTCCACCCCCCCTCTCCTGCCCCCACACCCCCTTGGGGCGGGTAGAGGGAGGGGAGGCACAACCACCCCCTCCACGCCCCCTCTCCTCCCCCCACATGTGGGGACCCCCACCCCCCTCCTGCCCCCACACCCCTCCACCCCCACCCCCCACCCCCCGCTCCCCTACCTGCTGGCAAAACGCCTCAAAACCTTATCCTTAAGCAAGGAGGGGTTGGGTTCCCCCAACCCCCACCCCACTCCCGCCCCCCCTCCACCCACCCCCCACCCTCCTACCCGCCACCCCCCTACCTTCCCCCCTTCCACCTGTCAGGCGCTCATCCTCAAGCAGAACGCAGCCGCCACGCTTATCCTCATGCAGAAGAGGGGCCAGGGAGTACAGCCGCCACGCTTATCCGGTGCCAGGCAAAGAGGTGCAGCCGCCACGCTTATCCTCAACCAGAATGGGGGCCAGGGGAAGAGGCGCAGCCGCCACGCTTATCCAGAATAGGGGCCAGGGCGTACAGCCGCCACGCTTATCCGGTGCCAGGCGACCAGAATGGGGGCCAGGGGGAAGAGGCGCAGCCGCCACGCTTATCCTCAACCAGCATAGGGGCCAGGGGTACAGCCGCCACGCTTATCCGGTGCCAGGCGAAGAGGTGCAGCCGCCACGCTGATCCTCAACTAGAATGGGGGCCACGCTTATCCTCAACCAGAAGAGGGGTCAGGGGGTACAGCGGCGAGGTGCAGCCGCCACGCTTATCCTCAACCAGAATGGGGGCCAGGGGGAAGAGGCGCAGCCGCCATGCTTATCCTCAACCAGAATAGGGGCCAGGGGGTACAGCCGCCACGCTTATCCGGTGCCAGGCAAGAGGTGCAGCCGCCACGCTCGTCCTCAACCAGAATGGGGGCCAGGGGGAAGAGGCACACCACGCTTATCCTCAACCAGAATAGGGGGCAGGGGGTACAGCCGCCACGCTTATCCGGTGCCAGGCGAAGAGGTGCAGCCGCCACGCGTTCCTCAATCAGAATAGGGGCTAGGGGGTACAGCCGCCACGCTTATCCGGCCAGGCGAAGAGGTGCAGCCGCCACGCTTATCCTCAACCAGAATGGGGGCCAAAAGGCGCAGCCGCCACGCTTATCCTCAACCAGAACAGGGGCCAGGGGGTACAGCCGCCACGCTTATCCGGTGCCAGGCGAAGAGATGCAGCCGCCACGCTTATCCTCAACCAGAATGGGGGCCAGGGGGAAGAGGCGCAGCCGGGTGCCAGGCGAAGAGGTGCAGCCGCCACGCTTATCCTCAACCAGAATGGGGGCCAGGGGGAAGAGGTGCAGCCGCCACGCTTATCCTCAACCAGAATAGGGGTCAGGGGGTACAGCCGCCACGCTTATCCAGTGCCAGGCCAGGGGGAAGAGGCGCAGCCGCCACGCTTACCGCCACGCTTTTCCGGTGCCAGGCGAAGAGGTGCAGCCGCCACGCTTATCCTCAACCAGGGGGGCCAGGGGGTACAGCCGCCACGCTTATCCGGTGCCAGGCGAAGGTGCAGCCGCCACGCTTATCGTCCTCAACCAGAATGGGGGCCAGGGGGAAGAGCCGCCACGCTTATCCTCAACCAGAATAGGGGGCAGGGGGTACAGCCGCCACGCTTATCCGGTGCCAGGCGAAGAGGTGCAGCCGCCACGCGTTCCTCAATCAGAATAGGGGCTAGGGGGTACAGCCGCCACGCTTATCCGGCCAGGCGAAGAGGTGCAGCCGCCACGCTTATCCTCAACCAGAATGGGGGCCAAAAGGCGCAGCCGCCACGCTTATCCTCAACCAGAACAGGGGCCAGGGGGTACAGCCGCCACGCTTATCCGGTGCCAGGCGAAGAGATGCAGCCGCCACGCTTATCCTCAACCAGAATGGGGGCCAGGGGGAAGAGGCGCAGCCGGGTGCCAGGCGAAGAGGTGCAGCCGCCACGCTTATCCTCAACCAGAATGGGGGCCAGGGGGAAGAGGTGCAGCCGCCACGCTTATCCTCAACCAGAATAGGGGTCAGGGGGTACAGCCGCCACGCTTATCCAGTGCCAGGCCAGGGGGAAGAGGCGCAGCCGCCACGCTTACCGCCACGCTTTTCCGGTGCCAGGCGAAGAGGTGCAGCCGCCACGCTTATCCTCAACCAGAATGGGGGCAGGGGGAAGAGCGCAGCCGCCACGCTTATCCTCAACCGGGGCCAGGGGGTACAGCCGCCACGCTTATCCGGTGCCAGGCGAAGAGGCGCAGCCGCCACGCTTATCCTCAACCAGAATAGGGGCCAGGGGGTACAGCCGCCACGCTTATCCGGTGCCAGGCGAAGAGGTGCAGCCGCCACGCTTATCCTCAACCAGAATGGGGGCCAGGGGCAAAAGGCGCAGCCGCCACGCTTATCCTCAACCAGAATAGGGGCCAGGGGGTACAGCCGCCACGCTTATCCGGTGCCAGGCGAAGAGGTGCAGCCGCCACGCTTATCCTCAACCAGAATGGGGGCCAGGGGGAAGAGGCGCAGCCGCCGCGCTTATCCTCAACCAGAATAGGGGCCGGGGGAACAGGCGCAGCCGCCACGCTTATCCTCAACCAGAATAGGGGCCAGGGGGTACAGCCGCCACGCTTATCCGGTGCCAGGCGAAGAGGTGCAGCCGCCACGCTTATCCTCAACCAGAATGACGCTTATCCGGTGCCAGGCGAAGAGGTGCAGCCGCCACGTTTATATCCTCAACCAGAATGGGGGCCAGGGGGAAGAGGCGCAGCCGCCACGCTTATCCTCAACCAGAATAGGGGCCAGGGGGTACAGCCGCCACGCTTATCCGGTGCCAGGTGAAGAGGTGCAGCCGCCACGCTTATCCTCAACCAGAATGGGGGCCAGGGGGAAGAGGCGCAGCCGCCACGCTTATCCTCAACCAGAATACACGCTTATCCGGTGCCAGGCGAAGAGGTGCAGCCGCCACGCTTATCCTCAACCAGAATGGGGGCCAGGGGGAAGAGGCGCAGCCGCCACGCTTATCCTCAACCAGAATACATGCTTATCCGGTGCCAGGCGAAGAGGTGCAGCCGCCACGCTTAGCCTCAACCAGATAGAGGCGCAGCCGCCACGCTTATCCTCAACCAGAATAGGGGCCAGGGTGTACAGCTGCCACGCTTATCCGGCGCCAGGCGAAGAGGTGCAGCCGCCACGTTTATCCTCAACCAGAATGGGGGCCAGGGGGAAGAGGCGCAGCCGCCACGCTTATCCTCGACCAGAATAGCAGCCGCCACGCTTATCCGGTGCCAGGCGAAGAGGTGCAGCCGCCACGCTTATCCTCAACCAGAAGGGGGGCCAGGGGGAAGAGGCGCAGCCGCCACGCTTATCCTCAACCAGAACAGGGGTCAGGGGGTACAGCCGCCAAGCTTATCCGGTGCCAGGCGAAGAGGTGCAGCCGCCACGCTTATCCTCAACCAGAATAGGGGCCAGGGGGTACAGCCGCCACGCTTATTATCCGGTGCCAGGCGAAGAGGTGCAGCCGCCACGCTTATCCTCAACCAGAATAGGGGCCAGGGGGTACAGCCGCCACACTTATCCGGTGCCAGGCGAAGAGGTGCAGCCGCCACGCTTATCCTCAACCAGAATGGGGGCCAGGGGCAAAAGGCGCAGCCGCCACGCTTATCCTCAACCAGAATAGGGGCCAGGGGGTACAGCCGCCACGCTTATCCGGTGCCAGGCGAAGAGGTGCAGCCGCCACGCTTATCCTCAACCAGAATGGGGGCCAGGGGGAAGAGGCGCAGCCGCCGCGCTTATCCTCAACCAGAATAGGGGCCAGGGGGAAGAGGCGCAGCCGCCACGCTTATCCTCAACCAGAATAGGGGCCAGGGGGTACAGCCGCCGCCCCCCTACCTTCCCCCCTTCAACCTGTCAGGCGCTCATCCTCAAGCAGAATGCGGAAGCCACAACAAGAGGCGCAGCCGCCACGCTTATCCTCAACCAGAATAGGGGCCAGGGGGCAACCAGAATGACGCTTATCCGGTGCCAGGCGAAGAGGTGCAGCCGCCACGCTTATCCTCAACCAGAATGGGGGCCAGGGGGAAGAGGCGCAGCCGCCACGCTTATCCTCAACCAGAATAGGGGCCAGGGGGTACAGCCGCCACGCTTATCCGGTGCCAGGCGAAGAGGTGCAGCCGCCACGCTTATCCTCAACCAGAATGACGCTTATCCGGTGCCAGGCGAAGAGGTGCAGCCGCCACGCTTTATCCTCAACCAGAATGGGGGCCAGGGGGAAGAGGCGCAGCCGCCACGCTTATCCTCAACCAGAATAGGGGCCAGGGGGTACAGCCGCCACGCTTATCCGGTGCCAGGCGAAGAGGTGCAGCCGCCACGCTTATCCTCATCCAGATAGAGGCGCAGCCGCCACGCTTATCCTCAACCAGAATAGGGGCCAGGGGGTACAGCCGCCACGCTTATCCGGTGCCAGGCGAAGAGGTGCAGCCGCCACGTTTATCCTCAACCAGAATGGGGGCCAGGGGGAAGAGGCGCAGCCGCCACTCTTATCCTCGACCAGAATAGCAGCCGCAACGCTTATCCGGTGCCAGGCGAAGAGGTGCAGCCGTCACGCTTATCCTCAACCAGAATGGGGGCCAGGGGGAAGAGGCGCAGCCGCCACACTTATCCTCAACCGGAATAGGGGCCAGGGGGAACAGCCGCCACGCAGATCCGGTGCCAGGCGAAGAGGTGCAGCCGCCACTGGGGGCCAGGGGGAAGAGGCGCAGCCGCCACGCTTATCCTCAACCAGAATAGGGGCCAGGGGGTACAGCCGCCACGCTTATCCGGCGCCAGGTGAAGAGGTGCAGCCGCCACGCTTATCCTCAACCAGAATGGGGGCCAGGGGGAAGAGGCGCAGCCGCCACGCTTATCCTCAACCAGAATAAAGGGGCCAGGGGGTACAGCCGCCACGCTTATCCTCAACCAGAATGGGGGCCAGGGGGAAGAGGCGCAGCCACCACGCTTATCCTCAACCAGAATAGGGGCCAGGGGGTACAGCCGCCACGCTTATCCGGTGCCAGGCGAAGAGGTGCAGCCGCCACGCTTATCCTCAACCAGAATGGGGGCCAGGGGGACGAGGCGCAGCCGCCACGCTTATCCTCAACCAGAATAGGGGCCAGGGGGTACAGCCGCCACGCTTATCCGGTGCCAGGCGAAGAGGTGCAGCCGCCACTCAACCTGGATGAGGTCCGGAGGTGCAGCCGCCACGCTTGTCGTGCATCCCCCACGCTTATTCTCAACCTGAATGGGCGCAGCCGCCACGCCTATCCTCAACCTGAATAGGGTTCGGAAGTGCAGCCACCACGCTTATCGTGCAGCCGCCACGCTTATCCTCAACCTGAATAGGGTCCGGAGGTGCAGCCGCCACGCTTATCGCGCAGCCGCCACGCTTATTCTCAACCTGAATGGGGGGCCCGACGGCGCAGCCGCCACGCTTATCCTCAACTTGAATGGGGTCCGTAGGTGCAGCCGCCACGCTTGTCGTGCAGCCGCCACGCTTATTCTCAACCTGAATGGGCGCAGCCGCCACGCTTATCCTCAACCTGAATAGAGTTCGGAAGTGCAGCCGCCACGCTTATGGTGCAGCCGCCACGCTTATCCTCAACCTGAATGGGGTCCGGAGGTGCAGCCGCCACTCTTGTCGTGCAGCCGCCACGCTTATTCTCAACCTGAATGGGGGCCCGAAGGCGCAGCCGCCACGCTTATCCTCAACCTGAATGGGGTCCGGAGGCGCTTATCCTCAACCAGTATGGGGTCCCCGGTGCGTGGTGTCAACCTGAAGAAGACGGAGGCAGGGACAAGGCCGGGACGCTTATCCTCAACCAATATGCGGTCCCAGGTGCGTTATATCCTCAACCAATATGCGTGGTGTCAACCTGTGCGGAGGCGGGGACAAGGCCGGAGCGCTTATCCTCAACCAATATGGGGTTCCAGGTGCGTGGTCTCAGCCCGAAGAACACGGAGTCGGGGGGGTCCCCGGTGCGTGGTGTCAACCTGAAGAAGACGGAGGCGGGGACAAGCCCGGAGCGCTTATCCTCAACCAATATGGGGTTCCAGGTGCGTGGTCTCAGCCCGAAGAACACGGAGGCGGGGACAAGGCCGGAGCGCTTATCCTCTACCAATCTGGGGTCCCAGGTGCGTTATCCTCAACCAACATGGGGTCCCAGGTGCGTGGTCTCAACCTGAAGAAGACGGAGGCGCATGCAGAAGTGGTTGCTTATCCTCAACCAATATGGTCTCCCAGGTGCTTATACTCAACCTGAAAAAAGACGAAGGCAAGGGACAAGGCCGGAGGGCTCGCATGGAGAGGTGGTGCGCTTATCCTCAACCAATATGGGGCACCAGGTGCTTATCTTCAACCTGAAGAAAGACAGAGACGGGACGAGGCCGGAGGGCTCGCATGCAGAAGTGGCTCGCTTATCCTCAACCAATATGGGGTACCAGGTGCCTGCTCATGCTCTAATGACACTCCCCCATTAAGTCTATTCTGCAACCGAGTGCACACATGTGTGCAAGTGCTCGCTATGCATGACAAGCCGAGCTAGTTCCGCTCACGTGGGCTCAATGTGAAGAGTCGTAGTCCTGCTCTGTGTCCGAGCTTCGGCCTATAGGTAGCCGCTTACGGCTGGAATCTCAGTCGTCACAACAGCGAGTGCCTAAGATCATGCCCACGGCCCTTGTTTCTGAGATCGACCGGCGCAACAGAGATGTCCCAGAACATGGGCGAAGGTTCCAGAAGCTCAGACCACTCGATTCGGGGCTCCGAACTGGAGGACTGCGAGGACCCTTTCGACTGTTGGGACTGGGTCGACGCAGAAATGCAGCACGACGCCGAGGAAGATGCACGTGGAGGAACAAGATGGAACAAAGAGATGGAGATGCAGAGGGAGTTCAGCGAGCGTCTTGCTGACCTGACGGTGAGGTACCTGAACATGCAGGGTGCCGAGATCCATTCCTCGAAGCCTTATCGCCTGCTCTGCCAACTCGAACCGCCCGGATCTTTCCGGGAAGCTTGGCTCGCCCAGCTGCACGAGGGCAACAACCCCGATCGCAGCCTATCCCTGCAAGAACTACGTGTCAAATTTCAGAAGACCATGAAGCCCATCCCGCCGGAAACGCTGCAGCATCGCAGCACCAGAGAGGTCTTGCTGTTGGACTTGGACAGCAGTCCTGCAGGACCCATTCCCATCGAAGGCACGCAACTGGTTTTGGACGGAGACGTGATCAGCGACGCTTGGAGCTGGCGCGAACTCCTGGACCGCAGCTTCCACGACGAGGTCGTGGACGTGCAAGTTGTCTACATGTCAAAGCAAGCCACAGACCGCTAGAGCTCCAAACGCGAGCAGCAACAAACGCAAAAAGGAGCGAGCGCTGCAGCAAGGGATACGGCAGTCTGGACACGGCCGGTTTGAGCTGTCGTTGCATCTCAGTCCTGCATCGGTCAATGACATGGCTTGTAGACTCAATAGACGGTGATCCAGTCTGGAATCACCTGTTCCTGAAAAGATTTTGTGCTGTTCTTCGTTTGATTAATTTGCTCGCTGATGGAACATGCTTGAGATTTGATCGCAGCCGTGCGGATACAGCCTTAGCTGAGCTTAGGAACCGCCTTATCGCAATTCGTTAGGATGGCGCCTTGCCCACGGTGTGGCTGGCCAATGCAAGGCCGAGGAAAAGGATGGTGCAGCAATCGACAGTGCCGCGAAGCTCAGAAAGAGGAGAACCTCCGCCGGAAGAGCGAGGAGAAGAGTGCTCAACAGCAGAAACGTGCTGCGCAAGGAGCGGGCAGCCGTGGACCTGTGCCTGTTGCAAACAGCACTCGGGCCCAGAGGCAACAACTTCAAGCTGACCGCGCAGAAGAAGGACTTGGCAGCCGCGGGCCTTTGCCCACGGAGAAAAGCAGACAGGCGCAGGGACAACAACTTCAAGCTCAACGTGCAGAAGAAGGACTTGGCAGCCGCGGGCCTGTACCCACGGAGGACCGCAGGCGGGCGCAGGGACAACAACTTCAAGCTCAACGCGCAGAAGAAGGACTTGGCAGCCGCGGGCCTGTACCCACGGAGGACAGCAGGCGGGCGCAGGGACGACAACTTCAAGCTCAACGCGCAGAAGAAGGACTTGGCAGCCGTGGTCCTTTGCCGATCGCCACAGAGGCCCAACAGCGGGGCTACCCGTTCCCGGATGAAGATGTGCTGACCTCGGAGCAAGCGCAAGCCCACTACTTGGCTTTTACGCGAAGCTGGAGTCGATTCGGATTGTCCAGGGTGTGTGAAGCATGTCACACTCTCACAACCGCGAAGCATTGCAGGCCGGCGAAGCAAACCGGCAACATGCTCTGCAGGAACTGTCGGGAGAATGTCACCAAGATCTTCTTGCCCACTTCACCACCCATCCCAGAAGCGCTCCAGAGCCTGCAGCCGATCGAGCATCACCTGCTCGCCATGGCGCGAATCTCTCAAGTCCTGCTTGACAAGCTTCCTTCCGGCGGGCCAAGTGCGCAGTGGGGCCGCATGTATGCAATGCTGGTCGACGAGCCTTTCATTTGCGACGTGCTGGATGGCGCAACGCTCGAAGAAGATGGCACGGTCCTAGTGGAGGGAGTCCAAGGCATGACCGCTTCGCCGGCCCGCCTCGACCACCTGTACCAAGCCTTGCGGCAGCTGAAATCCCAGCACCGCCTCTACCAGGCGAGCCCGGCTGTGGACAAAGCCCTGGACGATATGGCTGCAATTCTCCATGGCAAAGCGCCCACCGCCAAGGACGATGCTGCAGCAGCAGCGCCTGTGTCACCGGCCGAAAGAGAATCGGAAGAGCTCGAAGTGACATACATGCTTCCCAAAGAGTTAAAGGCTCCCCGAGCCGACACACACGAGCTACGAAAGGCCAGGGACGTATCAGCGATGTGCGACGACATGGACGTGAAGCTCTTTCCGCACCTGTTTCCCACCGGCCAGGGCGGGTGGCAGGACCAGTACGGCAGCTTCTCTCAATATGCGCGAAAGCGTCTCCTGAATCTCGACCCACGCTTCGAGGCGTCCGCCGGCTACATCATGTGGCTGCTGGAGATGCACATCAAGAAGCGCCTCTCGGGCAACGTGAATGTCAGGATAGGCCAGGAAGGCCCCAGCGAGAAGACCAAGTACAAGGACGGGAAAGGACGAGTGTTCGCGGCTCTCCGGGACATCCCTGGAACCAGCTCGTACGTCTTCGCAAAGAAGGGCGTCGCGGTCAACATGTACGAGCAGCTCGGAGCGCCCAAATTCTTCATGACCCTGTCGTGCCATGCCCGACAGCCCGACATCCTGATCGCCGTCATCATGGCACGGCTGCTCCGGCTGCGTCCTGCGAAACCGCCACAAGAGATCGAGAGAGAAGCCGCTCAGATCCTGCAGTGCTACCAAGCCGACGAGAAGTTCACCTGGGACGGTCTGTCCCCGAACCAGCTGTGCAATCAGCATCCCGCCGTTGTGGCTCGTCAGTTCATGCATCAAGTAACCCAGCTGATGCACTGGCTGTCCGCCAAGCACGAAGCAACAACGACGCGCCTCGACCAAGATGTGGATGCCGAGGACGATCCTGCGGCCGAAGACGAGGACGACTTTCTCCAGGCGCCGGCCATGGACTCTGCAGGCCAACACCGAAAAGTTTTCAAGGGAGCGCCACCGTTCAGGGTGCTGGACTACATCATCCGCATCGAATGGCAGAAGAGAGGCTATCCGCACGCTCACATCCTACTCTGGGTGATGGAACTTGAGAAGCCAACTCGGGCAGCAAAGATGTCTTCCGAGGACAGATCCGGTCACGAGCCGCAAGCTCCCGACTGGTCGGATGATGAGGTCATGCAGTCCTTCACTCCCAGCTGTGCGGAAGACTGGAGCGACAAGTACATTTGCACCAAATCCCCTTTCACGTGGAGGCAATCCAAGAAACTCTCGTCCCGAGACATCGAGGTGAACGCCAAGTTGGCCGAGCTGTTAGTGCACCACCACTCCGAGTACTGTGGAATCAAGTCGCACGGCGCCTGCCGCCACGGCTTCCCGCACACCGCAGAAACGCGGACCAGGCGCCGTACCTCCCAGGAGAGGTATGCCAACAGCCGCTGGAAAAGTAGCTTGGCGACGAGGCGGGTTCAGTCGGACAGCATGATGGGGCAGTACAACATCAAGATCCTTCGGCGGTGGCGGGCTAGCATGGACCTCCAGGTCATCTGCGAGCTCACCAGCGCGAGCCGCTACATCCTCGGTTATGCCATGAAATCGGAGCAGGACAAGCAAGCGCAACAGCGCGTGGAAAGTATCGTCGCGAGCCTCACCTCCAGCAGCAATAACGACGGCGGCCTCGGCAAACAGCAGGTCTACAAAGCCGCCCACGCCGCGCTGCAGGGCAGAACCACATCGACGTTCGAAGCCTGCCACCTGCTGCTGGGCTTCCCCGTCGTCGAGTTCTCTAGGGATAACGAGTGGATCCAGGTGGGCCCACCATACACTTGGACCTTGTCAGTACCGAAGAACGAGGAGAGCGTGGCCCTGCAGGCGCCAGGCAAATACCGCAGCAAGAAACTGTACCTCGAGGACTCCATGCCCGTGGCCCAGAGGCGGTACCGGGAGCTGCAACGCAGGTTCGGGGAGGAGACCGTCGAGATTCCGGTGGAGGGCGGCAAGTTCAGGAGCTGTCTTTTCAAGGAGGTGAACTTTCTGGATTTTTGCGCAGCCTTCAAGTTCATCGGTGGGGAGCCGCAGCCACGAAGGCGACCTGCGATCGTCGCCTACCGGAATTTCAGTCCTGACCTCGAACCGGAAGCTTTCTACTACTCCAAACTGCTGCTGTACTTGGTCTGGGTAGAGCCAGGAGACTGGCTGCAAGAGGAGGACAACGGAAGCCACGCAGCAGCCTTTCGACGAGTTGCTCGGGACACGACTGCCCACCCAGACTTCCTCCGGTCAAAGTGTTTCCCCGAAATGGATGGGACTGTACACGCGGCCCGGAAGCTGCAAGCCGTCCAGGCGGTCATGTATATGAAGGCGAAGATGCGTCCCGGCGATGTATGGGATGGATGGGCCAACAGCAAGATCGCCCAGGAAAATTACGAAGACTCTTTGAAGATTATGGAGGCATTGAAAGAGCGGTACGGTGGCGAGATCGACTTCCTGCCGCCAGATCACGTGCCAACAGGGGCTGCTGGCGATGCCTTCGCGCCGGTAGAAGGCGGCGAGGAAGCCTTCGAAATGCTGACGACAGAGAACCCAAGCCCCGAAACGAAACATCAGAAGGCAGCCATGGACTACATCGTCGACTACGTCCTCAAGCGGCCCAATACCAAGGACACCAATAACAGTGACCGCCTTCACATGCTCATGCACGGGCCGGGGGGCAGCGGAAAGTCTGTGGTGGTGCGCGCCGCGGCCAACATGCTCAGACAAGGCCGTGTCGGAGTGATCATTGCAGCACCGACAGGCGTGGCGGCCTGGAACCTCAACGGC